CTGGTGGACATGGTATGCAGTGTTTAGTCAATGCCACTTCAACATAGGGGATTTTACCGCCTGTGTAATTAACTGGACTATCTGGAGAAACCTTACTTCATACCTGAGCTTTGCTCAGTGGCACTTGCCCGTAGCTTTACTAATACTTGATTTTCCTGTTTCCTTGGTAGCCTGTGACACGGCCACCCGTTCCAGCACACAAGGTGCCCCCGTACAAGGCTGTTTCAGCCAGGTTCCGGCCACTCACCTTCTCACAAAGTACCCCCATCGGCCTGGACCGGGTGGGACGGAGGCGGCAGATGAGAACATCTAATGGTAAGATGAGTATTTTTAACTTTGTAGATCAGAAAGACACACCCCTGGCTAAGCAAGAATTAGAATATAACATGGAGGATAAAAAGGTGCAAACCAACTCAGTGACAAAGTAATACCCAGCAAAGTTGCTTTGTTTTGTGAATTTCTTATTAGTAGCTGCTGTTCTCATGAAAAACTTCTTTTTTTCACATCTACTCTTTGACATTGCTATGGTTTATTGTTCTGTACCACTTACAAACTTGTATTCTCCACTCTCTCACTCATATGATTGTCTAAAGTTGATGGATTATGAAGGAATTAAGTTCTAATATGCTTAAATTTGTACCTAAACCCTAGCCACACCACACATGTATTTTTAATTTTCTCTTTGCCATGCATTCAGCTTTACTTTGATAGGCAAGCCTTAATTATATAAGGCTTGCTGGTGAGTGTAGCCTAACCAGAACTCTGGTACATGAGGGACAGGCTTTTGGAAAAATTGCCTTTTTGGAAGCACTGCACTTTTAATAGGCTCGCTGATGTGTCCTACATAATTTTGCTGTAATTGTTTACTCTTAGCATGCAATGCTATCTGGAGTTAATAGAAGTAGTTTATTAACTAGTCTAGTAGTAGTGGAACCTTTCCTCACAGGTGGGACCAGAAGAACCTGGGTTAACACCATTTGTGTTCCTTCAGACACTGCCAAAAGTTAGAAATAAAAGCAAAATTCTCACTTTGTATCTTTCACTGTTAATAGTGAACAAAGCACTGTTGAGGACCTTCACCTTGAACCTTCTGGATCAAGGCTTCCCATGACTGAAGTAGGAAACTTAACAAATAGGATTTTCAATGTTTATGAAAATTGCATGTATGTTTACAAGTCAGTAACTTGGCTTCTATGGTTCTTAGCTAAGCTTTAGCTGCAATGACATCCAATTTCTGCCAAAAATGTTTTAACTGTGAATTAGTTTATGTAAGAACGTGTTAAAATTGAATACTCCTGTTCTGAATAGAACATGACAGTTTTTTTCAGGAGGTGCTCTTCAAGAAGCAGACTTGGAATTTCTAACTATGGCAATAAGAGAGACTTACTCCCTGAGATGAGCTCAGTTGGTTGGAGCATGCTGTTGATAATGCCTAGGCTGTGGGTTTGAGCCCCATATGGGCTATTCACTTAAGGGTTGGACTTGATCTTCGTGGGTCCTTTCCAACTCGGAATATTCTGGAATTCTGAGATAAATTATTGTGCTGGTTTTGACAGCTGGTTTAGGGAACTAAACTCCAAATAAGCCACTACCTTTCCCCCTGCCCCTTCCAGTAATGAAGGGATAATAATGAGAAATTATGAGATTACAAAATACTAAAATCGCAATGACAACAGTGATTTTAGTGTTAATAGCAAAAAGTATGCAAAAAGAGGGTGCTCTACCCACAAAAAAGGGCATTTACCACTGTGAAAAAAACCCCAGCACTTCCTGAAGACAATGCCTGCTGTCGTTTCCACACAGAGGCAATGTAGTTACTATTCCTGCATCTGGGCCACATGGTATTTGGGACATAAAGGAAATATGTCAAGGAGAGCTTTGGCTGCTTAATGTTCTCCCCTACCCCAGTCAGAAAACAGCGAAGAGTAGGACAAGCAAACCCCTCGGAAGTTCGATCATCGCATTATGCCACTCCACCTCCTCAGACTGCTCTGCTTTGCTGGTTTGATTCTGCACAGCTGCCTCTGGCACCAATGCTGCTCTAGTTGGGCTCTTCTGGAGTTTAGACTCTGTGTAGCTCAGCTGGGCTTGACTCTGTGCGGCTGTGTCACTCTCTTGCTTTTTCTGAGCGGCATCTCAGACTCATCGTTGCTGTCCGTCAGCACTATGTCTTAAAACAGTGCCCTAAAGAAATAGGAAAGGGACTGACAGTGGTGGAGAGGGGCTGGGTCCACTTGGCTGATCCCAATACCTTCTCCCTGAAGAGATCCGACAAGATGGCAAACTTTGGTTTCCGGTGCCTGCCTACTTCCGCCGAAACCACACCCCCAGTGATGATGTGGGTGGTTTGGAATAAACAGTGCTGAAAGCTTCACAACTTCTCTCTAACCAAGGCAGTCATATACACTCCATTTGTATTTTCCTTTTAATATTTATATTGTGGTAAAAGACTGGGAACTACTTTAAAACCTGTGTCTGCAGTGTGTTGTGCTGCATGCTCCTTAGTACACTTCATGAGTTCAGATCAGGCACTGAGGTAAATTAGACATCGAATGCTGTGACTCTTGCTGAGATTATACAAGTGGAGTCAGTCCCTGATTCCAGAAGGACCACTCACAGAATAACAGGTCTGCCATAATGTAGTTTGTGAAAAAAAGAGGCTCTTTTTTTATCACAGAGTAGGAATAAATTTTTCTAATTTTTTTTTCTACTTTTAGTTATCCTTTCCAATTCATATTTGTAAACCACATGAAATAGTATTAGTTACCTAGACAACTGCCTGAGAACAATATCTCCCCAGGTGTTTAGGTTTTGAGTAACTGATCTTCTAAAGGTAAGCATCAGGATGACAAATACACAAACCAAAATTTCTGCCACTTTTAAGGACAATGAAGCAAAAGCAACCTTGATTATGTTAGATGTGACTTTTATGAGACCTTACAATAACCACAGAAGTGGAGCAGGAAAGGTTTCTGAAATCAAAACTCTGAAGGCAAGTGGGGAGGGACTTCATCATGGACTTCACAGTTTGCAAGCAGTTGCAAAGATATTTTAAGTAGCTCCAGAAGAAAATATTAAAGTGACTAGTGTCACACATTCTGATCTCTTTCCTTTTTTCTCTTAAATCACAAGGCACTTCCTTGTCTTTGAACATGTGGGAGTTTTTTGTTTGCTCATGCACAGTGAAATTTGATAGCACAAAAGCCCTTTATTGTAGAAAGTAATTCTAACCCCAAGCACAGAAAACCAATGGTATCTTTAATTACTTGCTAAAAGCTAAGACATTACATGCTTTCTTCTTATAGCAATGGCAGATAAAAGTGGAGATGTAAATTTTTAGAAAAACAGAGGTTACAAGACAGCGAATCATCATCTGTAGGAAGCAGAGCAAGAATCATACAACACAAGGGAAACTGCCCATGTGATTTACATTGCTACTGTTGCACTTGAAGGGTTACAAGTTTTAGATTATATTAAATAGGTTGCCTATTTGTCACTGCAGAGGAATTTTTATACTCATCTTAAAAATGAACCCATCTGTTTTTGCATATATTTGTGTGGGACTAGAATTTGACCTGTGTGGAGCACAGCTCAGGAATGACTTAGGAGAGTGGTTGGTTTTCTTAAAGAGAGAGCTCATGAGTGGAATCAGATGTTTAGTGTCTGCACAAATGATGTGGGAAGGGAGGTATAAAATGAAATGGTAATTCTTGCTGGTGTGCTGAATTATTCACAGTGGTAAAAGTGAGACATGAGGCACTGCACAGGCGTCAGGTGTTGGTCAAGTCAAGGTAACTCATGTGGAGGAGGAAAAGAGCCTGATGTGCTTACAGAAGGATGGACTTTGAACTGGATATTGCCGTTCAGGCAGAGATCTTGCAGTCTTAGGAGACATTTACAGAATCAGTGCAGTGCATAGTAACAGTCAAAACAGTAAATAAAAGGGCAGGAGTTTGTAAGAAATGAATAGAGAATAAAACAGAAGGCCCAATTGTGCCACTGGTGTGTGGGGGCCATCTCCCCGTTCCTTTCCATCCCAAAAGGCATTTTTTACAGGGGACGATACAGAGAAAAGCAGAAGGACAAGAAAATCGACCCTGTGTGTGTCTCTGAGAGGAGTGATTAATGTGGCTTGAGCTCTGCAACATGGAAAAAAGGACAATAGGAGAATAAAAGTCTGTTTGGCATAGGAAAAATGAACAGATAATAGTTATTGTTTCAAATAATTTAAGAACTGAAGGGCACCAAATGAAATCACCAGAGAGCAAGCTCAAAATAAAAGATATTTTCCACAGTCTGTAAAATTAAACCATGAAACTAATTGCTACACATTGTATTTCACATCCCAACAGTTAAAAAAATTCAGAAAGTGGTTTGAAAAATCCAGTTCATTAAACACAAAGATATAATTTCTGCCCCAGGAGGGATCTGACTGATCTGCAGATAACTGGAATTTAGAGAAGTACATCAGAACAGTGTCATCACACGCCTCATCTATTTTTATGTTCCTCCCTAGGCATCTGCTACTGGCTGTTGTCAGAGAAGTGGTTGGGGGTGACCTGTGGTCTGCCCCAGGATGGAGGGTTCTACGATACCAGAGTATTTCTAGAATTGAATTTTCTTGTGTCCCTGGCTGATCTACAAGGAAATGAAGCCACCACCACCTTACCACAAATGAGTACTTTGGTGGTGGTTCAGTTTGCCAGATGTGCCCATGAAAAGGAGGGAGAGAAGCCCCCCTCTCCATCCCAGCAGCATCCCACAGGGGCATTAGGTTAGTCATTGAGCAAAAGCACACCGTCTGTTCCTTTCTGCAAAAATCAGACCGAAAGAATTTTGGGCTGTTTTTCAGAAGTTTTTATTAAACTGTCTTGTAAAAGAGCTGTGTGGGGTTTGAACTGGTTTTCCTCTGGCAGCTGAACTGTTTTTCCCTGATGGGCAGGGGTTTGACATGGCAAAGAGCTTGTGCTCTGGCTTGATTAAAAGCGTGAAATTTTCACTTGCAAGTCCCAGGATCCATCAGTGCTTCAGTGTCGTCCATGTCACTTCTGTTTGCCAGCTTGCTTTTTTTTTAATGGTTTATGCCAAGAGAAACATTGTGTATGAAGATCTTATGTAGTAGCTTGTTTGTATTGTCCTATCCAACTAGAGGCCTTGCAGCAAGAAATAATAGGGAAGTTTGAGAGATTTGGAAGATGATTTCTGTCAGTCTCCCATGCAGCGCAGCACAAATAGGATTTTTGCTGGAAAACGGCATTAATATTGCAGGACGATGTTTGGCCCCTTTCCTTCTCTGTCTGAGGCAGCACTGGGGAAAACCATGTGATTTCAGTGGGTGTTGAGAAGTTGCTAAGTGCAGAAATGCCTCCAGGGTTTTGTGTACACATCCCTGGAGGAGGCAGTCCCCAGTTACAGGACAGGCTCAGCTGAGCAACAGTTTTCAGGTAAAGAAGAAGCCACTAAGTTTTTGGGGCTTTCCAAACTGTAGGCATAGCAGTGTGTACAGACATAGGATCCATCAGGCTTTGCACTCTCCTGATGGGAACTGCTCCTGCCTTTGCTTCCAGTGCATGGACTGATCCAGCTTCACTGCGGGAGGACACAGATGCAAGGGTGAATGCTGGCCCACGGTGAATGAATGAGGTTGTGTTCTGGCTGGCTCAGACCTAGAGAAAGATGGATGGTTTGAGTGCTTTCCTGCTTTATTCCCTATTTCATAGAGCAGCTGAATTAAGTTTGTAGTATCAGTGAGAAAATGTCTCCTCCCCTGTTTTCCTGGGAGCAGTCTGCTGCAGCCTTAACACTTGTGCTGCTTGTGCCCTAAAAAATGATCCAGTGTTTGTCTGTGGAGCAAGTGAAATTGTGCAAAAAGTACCTTAATTGTTTGCTTCTACTGGAATTTTAGCTGGTATAGTATGACAAAGACCGATACTCTGAAGAGTGTTGTAATACAAGGAACTCCCAACTCCCATCCAAATAATCTCTCCCTCTGGATTGCAGTCATTTGAATATAGATCGAAATCGCATTTAGCTGCTTTAATGAAAAACAAATGCACTCCCTGGCTTGCTCTGTTCACGATGTTCAGGCTCTGTGGGAGCAGTCTGAGCGGCTGCAGGCGCAGCGCAGCCAGGGCCAGGCACAGCCAGGTTTTTGTTTCTTTTCTGGAACTTCCTCCCTAAGGGCACCCCATGATGTCAGAGAGCCGGGAGCTCTCGGCAGCCAGGCTGAGCGGCTGAGGGCGCCGCTGGCAGTTCCCAGCCGGCCTCGGCCTCGGAGGCACCGCCGGGAGCTGAAGGCAGCTGACAGCCTGTTCCTCCGAGCTGTGGGTAGCTCAGAGCCTCTTGTGAGCCTCCACCAGCCCTGTAGGACTCAGCATCATCACCTGTTAGAGGTCTGACGGCAGCATGGTAGCCAGGGGGGCAATGGCACGCTTTTGGAGTCTGGAGAGCCTTCAGATGGGTACGTGTGAGTACAACATGCTCGCTCTTGCTTTTCTCGCGGTGTTTTTCGATTGAACTGGTAAACTGTGGCAGTCAGGGGGCCTGAGTCTGATGATACTTACTCTCTGTCATGTGGGCACCTGCAGTACTGGTGAAAAGCTGCTAGGAGATCTGCATCAGTCCCAGGCTGTCTTTTAAGTTTTTTGTGACCAGGAAGGCATGCCCCTCCCTCTGGTATTTCTGTCTGTATACAATAGACAAAAAGATGCAGAATGCAAGATTTCACTTGATTATACTCTACAAAGTCAATGTAAGCTTGTTCATTTGGTACAGAATAACAAAACAGCTTTCTGTCCCAAAATTGTAGGTTTTTTTTGTCTGGAATCAAATGAATTGGGTTATTTTGAAGTGCTATTATTACTGCAACAACCCCACAGGCAATACAGAGAGTACAGTGGAAATGTATAAAGGATCACTGGGATTAATTTTTTTGATTTTGCTTTATAAGATAAAAACTGATTTAATGACATATTTACTTGCAGATTTTTTAATAAAGTATTTTCAGTAAGTTTTGCAAGATGTATTTAAAAAGTTCATCAGTGCTCAGATTAAAGAGTTTGTAGGGGAAAAAAAATGTTGATTTTTTTAAATGGGAGTTCTGCATCCTTCCTGCTTAGGCAGATTATACTGTTAATGTGAATGTATATTTAAAATGCTAGGGAGTAGAAGAGAATGGTTAATAGCCATGTTCTATTGTATCAAGACTATGCCATATTTTTCCATTTTTAATGGAAAGAAAAATCTTGAAAGTTTTTTAATGAATCTGTGTGGAGATCTGCTTTGATCTCTCTGGCAAATTAATGCTCAAATGAGCAAAGATGCTGGTGATGGTATGTGTGCCCTGAAGAGGGGGTTGCGGTATTTCTCCCTCTAATGTAAATAGCAGATGGCAACAGAGTGCCTGGTGATAGTAGGTGCATGGAGTAAAGCCAGGAGTGGTCTCTTTGTGACTCTCATCTATTCAGAGCCCAGATCTCAGCTGACAGCCAGTACCCAGGTCTGAAGCACAGTAGAGAAGAGGCAATGTCAGGATTCTGCTGCTCAGCCTTGCTGCTTTTTGGAATTGGCAGGTTCAGTAATTCTGTTTAAATGTCCCTTCCCAGGCACCCAGGAGTAAGAGCTGCTCTGTTGACTGTGTGGCAAATTACTTGGGATACATTAACCTTTAGCAAAGAAGTTCAGTGCTAGCAACCTATTCTGAATTTGGCTTATTACATTTTAATGCATTTTTGAGCACTGTATGATCTTCAGACTCTCTAGTTCACAGCTTGGACTTGCCAGAAGAATAAATCTTTAAGGATAAATTAACAAGGACCAGAGAGTGCACTCAAGCACGGGGCTACTGGTCATGAATGCTTCCTGATCCTGGGTGGTTTGAACGTAACAGGCGGCTTTGAAAGGCAAGCCTGCTTGGACACAGTCCAGCACTGAGCAGTGCATGGGAGAGGTGGCAGCAGCCAGCGCAGAGCTGGGGCTGCACGAGGGCTGCCCACTCCTCTCACGGGTACCACCCAAACCATGGGAACCACTGCGTCCTTATGTCCCTGCAGGGGATGTGACGGTGTGAGGGCACCGGGCCTGGGGGTCACAGTGTCCCCACTGACTGCTGGGGGCTGCCTGGGCTCTCTTATCTGCCACCTGGGAAATTGCACCGGGGCCTTCCTTCTGATACAGATCATTTAAGGTTTCCTCTGGGAAAAAATAAGTAAGGAATTGTTGTAGTTCCGAGGTTTTTGCGTACAGAAGTTTCTCAGTTTTATCAGCTGCTAAAAGAGAAAATTCTAAAGAAGAGTAAAATGTTTTTAGTGACGGGAAGGTGGTTTTCCTGAGAGCTCTGCTGCCCACCACTTCTGCTGTTATTGTTTTATTCGTGTCAACAAAGGCAATTTCTCAGCAATTCCTCTTGCATTGTTGTCTTTCTTTGAATCATAAAAAATGATGAAGCAAACAGCTGTTGCACTTTTGTTTTAGTTGCTGCAGATGGTGGGACTGAATCTTCAGCCTTAGTGGATGACAATGGCAGTGAGGAAGATTACAGCTTCGAGGAGCTCTGCCAAGCTGCTCCCAGGTACCTGCAGCCCGGAGGGGAACAGCTTGCAATTAATGAGGTAATGTCGGGGCTTTGCCTTGCTGGAGTGACAGGACAGGGATGACAGGGATGGGGGATGTGGAGGGATGTTTTCCACTGTCTGAGATTTCATAGTCATTAAAAATTCAATGGCAGTAGCTAGTTTCTTTGGGAGGCATTTTTGTTTGCTCAGTGGTAAATACCCTTTTGTGGGTGAAACTTTCTTTTGTGGACTCTTTTACTAGCATTGTTGTGGCTATTGTGGTTTTTCAGTAAATTGTGATTCCTTCTATAATCTCTCCTAGTGTTTCCTCCACTGTAGGAAGGGAGTGGGGGAAAGAGGACAGTTTGAGTTGGTTTAATTTTCCCTCTGGGTTTTAAACCATCACAGACTGTAACTCTTACCCTGTGTAAGTGATCTGGAGCAGGAGTCTAATTGTTTTCACCAATGAGTATGTGCATAGATTTCTGAAAACCTGAAATTTTAGTTTTATCCTGTAACAGGAGTAATAGTAGGCAATCTGATGAGTTATGTTCATCTCTTTGTAGTTTATGAACACTTCATATCTTGTCTTCTGTCCTTCACTATCTCATTTTCTTCCTATCTTAGCTGATAAGCGATGGCACCATTGTCTATGCAGAGGCTCTGTGGGACCATGTCACTATGGATGATCAAGAGCTGGGCTTCAAAGCTGGAGATGTCATTAGAGTTCTAGAAGCTTCCAACAAAGACTGGTGGTGGGGAAGAAATGAGGACAAGGAAGCCTGGTTCCCAGCCAGCTTTGTCAGGGTGAGTAAATCTTTTGCTTCTTGTTTTTGCACCATTGCAAGATTCCTAGGAGAGTGCAACAGTTGTCATGGCATTACATTTCACACCTGATCCTCAGCACGTTTATAGCTGAACATCAGTGGTGTAACCCTTAAGGACTTCACAAGGGAAAAAGCAGTAGAGAATCACACCTAAGATCCCTTAGCTCCTCTGACAACTTCTCTTCTCTCTTCTTTGTTTATAACCAAAGGAATTTTTCAAACAAGAAATTCAAACAAGAGCAGAAAGGTCAACCAGAAAGTCAGTGTATACAGAGAGGGCACAATAGTTCTTGTAAGGGTTGGAGAGAGCTATGCTGCAGGGTTTTCTTGGTAAAATAGGGGCTTAATTTATTATCAATGACATTGTGCAGAAATCTGGTTCACAGCATGAACTCCACAGTCAGAACTCACCCAGATTAATGACAGTATAACTCTCAGAAGGTAAAAAATTGAACTGTGTTTTGGAAAATAATTTTAACTCTCCTTTTGAGAACCTGTAGGGAAACGTTGGCCACACTGCATGAAGTACTACATACACAAAGTGTGGCAGGTGGTTCCTCCCTTTCCCCTTCCTACATCTCTCGATAACACGGGTACTCAGAAGTCAAAAAAAGGAGGTGCTGCTATCTACATCATACAGATGGGACACAGGGAAACTATTTAAAAGTGGTTGAGTGTCTACTTTTGTAATTTTTACCCTTATGCTAACTTTGCCAAACACATCAACTATTAGTAAGGGTCAGAAATAAGATTAACTCTGAAGAGAACATGAACAACACAACATGGTCTCTCTCTAAGGTTGAAAGTCATGTATTTAATCAGACAGAATTCTCAACACTTTATTTGAATATGTAGTGAGCACAGTGAGATAAATCCTGTTCTGAAGCCCCCTTTGTAAGGTAAGAATATGTCTGTATCCACTCTTCCCTTAGTTAAAAGAAGTTTGTAACAGTTTTACCACATTTTGTGAAACTTTCTGCTTCACTCTAATTGCTTTGTTTGTTCTGGCTGCAGCTGCGAGTTAATCAGGAAGAAGTGCCAGAAAATTGTAGTAATATCCAGGACGAAGAACAAGATTCAGATATTAGCAAGCATCGCCAGAAAATAGCTGAAAACAGGGATCAGATGAGAACCAACGTTATACAGGAAATTATGAAAACAGAACGGGTCTATATCAAGCATCTCAAGGACATCTGTGAGGTACATGCTTTAACCTGAGGGCGTTCTGCTGACCTAATGAAAACAAATCATTCCATATAAGTTGAGAACCACAGTGGTTTCTCATATCAAAATACTCCCAAAATTGCGCTTCTGATGCTGTCTGTCAGATTCTTTGTTTCCTCTTACGGCTTTCCTCTCTGATGATTGCCATGAGCCATTGCTTCCTTTCTTTTTAAAAAACTTCCATTTTTGACAGCAAAAAAGTGTCTCTCTGACTGCTATTTCCATAATAAATGAGAGAAGGAAGTCTAATTTATTTAGAGCTTTTTGCCACTGTATAGAAAACATTGAGTAACTGTAGTAAAATAATTTACATTTCAGTGACAAAACTTCTTGGAAGTAACTTGGAAAGAGTATTTGCTAAGTGTTTTTTTCCCTGTTTTCTCAAGCAAGGAGAATTTTACTGGCTGCTTAGGAGCTATGAGGAAATCTAGGTGTGTTTTAGATCTACCTTGCTTGTTTGAACCATAAAATGGGGGTGATTTTCTGCATTTTTTCTAGATATTTGTTGGAGGCTCACACTCCAGAAAAG